GTAGAAGCACCTTTCCTACAGAGGAGCAAATACAGGGACTGCATTCGACTTCTCCTAGGAAACCATCCAAGCAAGTAGAGAAAAATGGTGTTGAGAGAATTTGCGCCTTGCAAAATTATCCTTGACAAGTGAAAGAGAAATAAAGACTTTCTCCGGCAAACAAAAATTAATGGGACTTTCTGCTAAGAGACCTCCCTGGCAAGAAATGTTAAAAGGAGCTCTTTAGAGAGAAGGGAAATGCAGAAACTTGGATCTACATAAAGGAAGAGCACCAGAGAATGAATAAGTAAAGGCAAAACAAAAACTTCTATTTTTCATATTCTTAAATGATCTACCAGATAATAGTCCATTCCAAATGATTCAGGAGGCAATGTGTTCGGTTATGTATGCTGATGTATGTAGTTGGATAGCTATCTTTATTTATGTTTATGGAGAAGTGAAATGAATAATAGTGACGCAGTGGCTGGGAGGGAAGAGTTAGGATTATTTGTTATTGTCATTATTCACACCACTCTGGAGACACAATAACGTTATTTAAAAGCAGACTTGGATCATTTGTAAATGTACAGTGCAAACTCTAGGATTAACAGTTAAAAAAAAAGTTTAAAAAATACAAAAGAAGTATAAAATGTGTTTAAAAAAGAGAGAAAATGTAATCATAATAAATGCTCAGTTAAATCCAGAAAAGGCAAGAAGAGAAGGAAACAAGAGTAAGAACAAAGAATAAGGGGAACAGAAAACAACAAATCTGGTAGATAGAAATCTAATTATATCAATAAACACTTTAATTTTATTTTCCAGAGAGAGAGAGAGAGCATGCACAAGCAGAGGAGAGGAACAGAGAGAGAGAGAGAGAGAGAGAGAGAGAGAGAGAATGTCAAGCAGGCTGCACACACAGCCAGATGCAGGGCTCAATCCCATGACTGTGAGATTATGATCTGAACCAAAATCAAGAATAAGATGCTCAACCAACTGAGCCACCCAGGCACCCCTCAGTAACCACTTTAAATATTAATGGCCTAGAAGATAGAAGTAGAGTGAGTCAGAAAAATGGAGAAAAATATATTATTTTAACACTAATTAAAAGAAAGCAGGAGTAGCTATATTAATTTCAAAGTAGACTTCAGAGCAAAGAAAGATATCACAGATAAAGAAGGTCTGGGGTGCCTGGGTGGCTCAGTCGATTGGTTGTCCCAACTTCAGCTCAAGTCACGATCTTGCAGTTCATGGGTTCGAGCCCTGCATCAGGCTCTATGCTGACATCTCAGAACCTGGAGCCTGCTTCGGATTCTGTGTCTCCCTCTCTCTCTGCCCCTCCCCCTCTCATGCTCTGTCTCTGTCTCTCTCTCAAAAATAAATAACCATGAATTTTTTTCTTAAAAAAAGAAGGTAATTAACATAAAGATAAACAGGTCAGTTCTCCAAGAAGACATAATAATCCTCCGTGTGATACTCACCAGCAACAGAGTGTCAGAATACATGAGGGAAAATAACCAATAGAAATGTAAGAAGAAACACATGAATTCACTATTATGTTGGAGACTTCAACATCTGCTATCGGAAGTGGACAGATCCAGCAGACAGAAAATCAGTAAGGACATAGTTGAACTCAATACCTTCAAGCAACTGGTTACAATTGACATCTATTCAGTATTTTATCCAACAGTGGCACAATACACATTCTTCTCAAGTTCACATGGATTATTTGCCAAGATAAACCACAGTCTAGTCCACAAAACACACTGTGATACATTTAAAAGAATAGAAATCCTATGGTGTCTGCCCTCAGACCACGGTGGAATTAAACCAGGAATCAGCAACAGAAAGATGCCTGGAAAATCCAGATACTTGGCAATGGACAACAGATTTCTAAATAACACCTGGATTAAAAAAGAAGTCCCAAGAGAAATTTGAAAACTGAATTTTGAACTTCATTAAAATCAAAACACAACTTAATCAGAATTTGTGGGGTGCAGCAAAAGCAGGGCTTAGAGGAGTACTTATGGCATTGAATGCATATATTAGAAAATAAGAAAGTACTAAAATCAGTCTAAACTTCATCTAAGGAAACTGGAAAGAGATGAGCTAATTAAATCCAAATAAGCAGAAGGAAAAAAATTAATAAAAATTTGAGGAGAAATCAATTAAATTGAAAATGGGAAATTAATAGAGAAAGTCAAAGAAACCAGGATTTGGTTCTTTGAAAAAAGTCAATACAGTTGAGAAGCCTCTAGCCAGGCTAACTAAAGAGAAAAGAGAGAGGACACAAATTAGTAATATTGTGAAATAGGAGACATCACTCCAGACCCCACAGATATTAAAAAGATAATAAAGGGATACAATGAACAATTCTGTGCCTACAAATTTGACAATCTACATGAACTGACAGTGTGGTATGATGACTAGATCAATAAACAGAATTGGGAACCCAGAAATAAACCTGCACACATATAGTGACCCGATCTTTGACAAAGGAGTCAACACAGGACAATGAAGATTATCTTTTTAATAAATGGCGGTAGAACTATTAGGCATCCGCATGCAAAAATATATAACCATACGGTATTTGTCTTTCTCTGAATGACTTATTTCACTTAGAATTAATACTTTTTAGGTCCATCCAGGTGGCTGTGAATAGCAAGATCTCATTCTTTTTGATGGCTGAGTAGTATTCCATTGTGTATATATTCCACATCTTTTTTTATCCATTCACCTATCAATGGACTTTCAGAGAGCTTCCATATCTTGGTGATTATAAATAATGGTGCAACAACATAGGGGTTCACATATCTTTTTTTTAAATGTTCATTTAGTTTTTGAGAGAGAGAGACAGAGACAGAGCGTGAGTTGGGAGGGAAAGAGAGAGAGGCAGACACAGAATCTGAACTGGGCTCCAGGCTCTGAGCTGTCAGCACAGAGCCCGATGTGGGGCTCAAAGTCATGGACCACAAGATGATGACCTGAGCCAAAGTTGGATGCTTAACCAACTGAGCCACCCAGGTGCCCCTGCACATATCTTTTCAAATTAGTGTTTTTGTTTTTTTTGGGTGAATACCCAGTAGCAGAATACCCAGTAGAGTAGTTCTTTTTTTTTTTTTTTTTAATTTTTTTTTCAAACGTTTATTTATTTTTGGGACAGAGACAGAGCATGAACGGGGGAGGGGCAGAGAGAGAGGGAGACACAGAATCGGAAACAGGCTCCAGGCTCTGAGCCATCAGCCCAGAGCCTGATGCGGGGCTCGAACTCACGGACTGCGAGATCGTGACCTGGCTGGAGTCGGACGCTTAACCGACTGCGCCACCCAGGCGCCCCCCCCAGTAGAGTAGTTCTATTTTTAATTTTCTGAGGAATCTCTATACTGTTTTCCACAGTGGTTGCACCAATTTGCATTCCCACCAATAGTGCACAAGGGTTCCCATTTCTCTACATCTTTGCCAACATTTGTTATTTCTTGTCTTTTTGATTTTGGCCATTCTGAGAGGTGTGAGGTGATATCTCATTGTGGTTTTGATATGCACTGATGATGGTTGATGTTGAGGATCTTTGTATGTGTCTGTTGTCTTCATTAGAAGTATCTATTCAGGTCTTCTGCCCATCTGTAATTGAGGCTTTTAAACCTCAAAACAATTATATTGCTTATTCCAAGATCACATAACTATCAAGCAGTGGTATCAGACTTTGAATTCAGATTTTTCTGGAGTAGAGACCTGTAAATACCTATACCTGTGAGTACAGGTTTTCTGGGCAATTATGGTGTGTCTTCTATGTGCAAAGCACACTGACAGAGTTTAGGGCAAATTAGGAGATTGTGTCCTTAAATTAAACTCTGCAAAGGAGACAAATGGAAAGAAAGCATGCCAAAGAGAGTGAGAATGAGAATATAAGATTCATGGGTGTTTCATGGGTGTTGAGCTGAAATCAACAGCCACTTAACTGAGCCACCCAGGAACCCCTAGAATTATTCTGTTTTCATCGTGGAGCTTGTTTGGATTAGTTTATTTTTACAAATGGTGTCGGTGAATGAATGTCTTTCGTCTCTTTTATGACTTCACACATCACAGTTCAGCCTACTTTGGTAGTGGGCATATTATCAAAGACCGTGGAAGCAAAGGAAGGGAGAATGAGAATGTGACTCACTGCTGAAGTTCAGTGCTGGGAGCCCTTGTTGAGGCCACGGTTAACTCCTGACGTTTCCACTCTGGAGGGAGGTTTGGAGGCAGCTGTTCAGATCCGGATCAGCTGCGTGAACCATAACATAAAAACGGTTCGTGTCAAATCACGTTGGCAACCATTCCTTCATATCCCTGACCTTCCATAGAGCATGATGCAGGTGGCAGAGAAGCTTATGGCTGACGCTGAGATTTGTAGGGATCTTTGGCCCGCGTGGAAGCCTGGGGAAGACGCACAGGCTGGTAAACGCTAAGACGGTGCTTTTCAAAAGCGTGGGCCCCAGACCACCATTCGTGGCAGCAGCACCTGAGAACTTGTCATCAAAGCAGATCCTCTGGCCCCATCCCACACTTTGTGAGTCAGACGCTCTGGGGGTGGGACCAGCAGCCAGTGTTTCAGGAGCCCCTCAGGTCATTGGTTCGTATGGTGACATCTAGAAACCTGCCGCTTGCTTATTTAAGCTCTCTCTTGTAAAGGTGCCTTGGAGAATCAGACTCATCCTGGCTCTTTGAAAGTTGCATTTCACTAACTTTTTCCTATGATTACTTAGAATTAAATCACATGGTTGCCGGTGTGACTTACATATAAGGCCCCAAAACGGAACCGTTCGTGAAAATCACAGTATTGCCACTCGTAAAAACATGTAAATAATGCCAGTTTCATTTCACCCACAAAAAAGGTGGCGGTACTTCATATTGTTTAAAGCATAGGTTTCCCACTGTCATCCGTGGGACAGTGAATACAACATATCCTGTGAAGCTGACTACCTAATTAAATACATTATGGATTAACGCTCGCTGTGAGTATAACACGTTTTTCTGCGTTCCAGGTCCAAACTGCTTTGCAGAAACTGCTGTCATCCCAGCTGGAAGAGAAGTGAAGACGGACGAGTGTACCATATGTCACTGTACTTACGAGGAAGGGACATGGAGAATTGAAAGACAGGCCATGTGCACGAGGCACGAATGCCGGCAGGTGTAGACACGGGGCCGTAAAAAAAACAGACGTTTTTCTAGAATATTTTACTGATGTGAACACTCTAGATGACTCTGGGGAATGTCATCCAAAAGGAGAAGACTTTTGATGAGGAGTGTGCAAAGTTGTGCGTACCTTTTGCGCTTCTCGGTAACCGTTTCCTGCAGAAGAAGGAAATGGGTCTATTTCAAAACGTCCACAAGAACTTTGGGCACAAAACCCCCTCTCTAAATAAATGTGCTATTTTCACAGTAAGTACACCGAAGTACACTATTATATATTAAATGTATTTCTATAATCCCTCTATTAGAGAGCTTATATAAATGTTTTCTATAGATACAGATTAAAAATGCTGTGTTGTCAACCGCCTTCACTGCGTACCTGCATATCTGCTTCCTTTCTGATTCCATCACACGAGGTTGTTTGTGGTGGCTGATTCTGCCTCACCTCTCGGAACACTGCACCCGTCGATGGCCCATACGATGGTGAAATCCGGAAATCCTGCCCCCATTCTGTTTCATCACAGAGATCGGTCTAGTGTCCTTAGGAGATCCAGTCTACTTCACATAAATGTATTTCCTTCTTCTGATGACTTCTAGGTTTTACCACCTCCGTTTTCAGTCACTGATGAATCATTATACCAAGACAACAGGCATGCACTTTTCCTATGTTTTCGATGCTTCCGCGTTGGGGACCGTACTCGGACACACACATATGGTTCATCCTCTGTTCATTACTTTCTCTTCTGAGCGTGCCCTTTAGTCATCTCGTAACTTAAGCAACCGGGTAGGCTGGACAGTTTGCATTGTTCTGTAAAGCCGAAGCATGCAGGGAGAGAGGGGGGTTTCTTGACTGGGGCAGAGAGGAGGAAAACAGACCCCAGACAAGTCTACACCTGGTGCAGGGATCCCAGCTCTCCACTAGATGGACACATGTTTCTCACTGGAATGATCACCTACCCTCCATACAAGACAGAGTAAAATCAGAAGATAGCCCTGTATTTCGAAAGCAGAGTGAAGGGGGTCCCATCCAGGATGTGAAAACAAACAGCGCTAAAGGCTATGTCCACTCTGTGACTTTTGTGTTGTTAACATGTAATTCCAAACCAGTTTGATTCCTCTTCAACTGCCGCCGCAAATCCTGACCCTTGCGCAGGGCCTATTAGAGAATATTTCTGCCATTAGTATCGACACTTGGCACACTAGTGAAAAGGTTTCAGTCTGAAAAGGTGTAAGGTGAAAAAGGAAAATTATAATCACGATTGGAAATCTGTAAAGTTTCCCCCCCATACTTTTATTTACCCCCAGAGCTTGAATTAGCACATATTAATAGTATAAATTATTTGATGACAAAAACAGGAAATAAAGCACGGTTTCTCGCCTTCCTGGGCTTTTGGTCCTTGGCATGACATGAGTAAGAAATTATAGTACGTTGTGGCAGGAGCCCAGTTAGAGGTCAGCAAAGGGAGGTTGGAAAGCTTTCCTAAAAAGAGCAGAGAATACCAAAATGTCATCCAGTATCTTAAGAAATCATTCAATCATTAAAGGTTGAATAATCAAGAAAAATTGATATATTTGTCATTAGTGAAAACGTGAGCCACTGTGCACCTTAATAAATGCAAAGCCAGCCCTAAATGAAGCCTCAAGAACTTTCCGTATGCTTACACTTAATTTTAATCTTGTCTGTCAAGAACATCGTGGGCCATATGGGCTCCACACACATAGCTTTTCAAGAAAAAACTCAGGGGAAGTATTAGCTAGTTGCTTTCCAAAACTTAACCTTTGCCACTAAAGCCTACGAGGCATTGGCCATCAGCATTCTATTATCCAAAGGTGGATTTTTTTTTTTTTTTTTTGAGACAGGGTCCTACAAGTGATGGTTTTGCCAACAATGGGCACCAGTCCCCATGAGGAGGTGGGTCATTAGCTTTCGCTAACGCTACACAAACAGCCTCTTCTCTCCCCATCAGTCATGCAGCCGTTGGAGACTCAGTGGATGAGGCACAGAGCCTCCCTGCCTCCTTTGGTGATGCAGCCCCTACCCGGATGGGCGGTGAGCTCTGAAGTGATGGCAAGGGGACCTTGAGTGCTGTGAGAATTTCAGGAAACCTGGTACTTTGTTGCAGAGAGAGTGAACGGGAGACCATCTTGGGAAACTGGCTCTCACTTGCTGTAAAGGCATGTGACCCACCCTTGTCCCTGGCACGGCTGGGAGAGCTGGAGGGCAGTGGCTGTTGTTAGAGTAACTCTGTCTCTGGTTTCAACCCCACGGTCCTTTTTCCATGTAAGAACAATATGGAAACCAAACATGGCAGAACCTGGGTTGACGACACTGCATATCCTTAATATGGAATGATATGATTTGCATTTTTGTCTAAGAGAAGCTTATTACGCTTACGTTATTTCTTGCCATTAGCATAGACTTCCACGTCTATAAAGCTATAGCAGTTCGAAATTTTATTTTCCTCTTCTTTTTTCCCATAGAACATTTTACAGAGATTTTAACAATGAAACTATTCAATGAGTTTAATAACCTTAATACGTGCATTATAAAGAGGGAAATACAAGTCCAAGTTATCTGATTGCAAAATATTCTGGTTTGGACATAGTCCTGAACAAGGAGCCTCCAAGCTCAAGTGCAGACGTTTTTGGAGAGCCGTCATTCTTAGTATTCCAATCAGCCTGCCCCACGAGTCCCATTAATTGTTAGGGGACTTATTCACGTTGAAAGAAGAAACTGTGCTTAAAATGTATTATATGAATTTGTTCCAAATTACCCAACTTGCGTGTCTGCAAAAGGGAAGTGACCTATGTAAACAACGGGACGATTCTGGAAGTGATCTAATCTGACTTTCTGTTGAGATTCATTCTTTCAGTCACAGAATCCCTCCTGTGCCGTTGATGGATGTCAGTATTTCCACATTCCACAGAAGCTTGCGTAATTTTAAAACCTTGCTTTTTATTCTTGCACACAGCACACTTTAGATGCATCCGTACTGGGCCAGAGGCTAGAGCAAATGTGGAGGCGAGAGCATCCTTGACCTCAAGGGGTTGATATGCCTCAAAACTATCTTTTGTTTCAGTATTTTTCTTTCGACTTTTTGAGACTTACAATTTCTTCATCTCCTTTGTGTGGTCGAACATGTTTAAGAGACTACTTCTTACCCATTTTAAAATTTGTAGCATCATGAACATGTTTAAGAAAATCTCCTTTTGGGGCACCTGGGTGGCTCAGTCGGTTAAGCTCTGACTCTTGACTTCAGCTCAGGTCATGATCTCACGGTTCATGAAATCGAGCCCCTCATTGGGCTTTGCGCTGACGGTGTGGGCCTGCTTGGGATTCTCTCTCTCCCTCTCTCTCTGCCCCTCCCCTGCTTGCACACTCTCTCTCTCTCAAAATAAAAATAAACTTAAATGAATGAATGAATAAATAAACAAATAAATACATAAATAAATAGAAACTCTCTAGTCCCCTAATACAAACATTATATGTATATACAATGTTTTAAAAAATCCAAAAATTTCAGGGAATTCAGGTGTTTTCATATCTTGGGTTTTGTTTTGATTTTGAGCAGTAACTGTGTTTAATGTGTCCATTATTTGGAATGTGCACAATGCACACAACAGCCGAGACTTGTTGAAAACTATGCCTGTTAGTTTAAAATATAGTTTAACTCTATAGAAAACAGAATTAAAGATGCAAGCCATTTTTTAAAAATGTATTGTCAAGTTAGTAACATACAGTGTAGTCTTGGTGTCAGGAGCAGATTAACGTGACTTATCACTTACATACAACACCCAGTGCTCATCCCCACAAGTGCCCTCCTCAATGCCCATCACCCACCTCCCACCCCTCAAACCCCCACCCCTCATAAACTCTCAGTTTGTTCTCTGTATTCAAGAGTCCTTTATGGTTTGCCTCCCTCTCTGTTTGTAACTTATTTTTCCTTCCCTTCCCCTCTGTTCATCTGTTAAGTTTCTCAAATTCACATAGGAGTGAAATCATATGATATTTGTCTTTCTCTGACTTATTTCACTTAGCATAATACACTCCAGCTCTATCCACATTGTTACAAATGGCAAGATTTCATTCTTTTTCATCGCCGAGTAGTATTCCATTGTATATATAAACCACATCTTCTCTATCCATTCATCAGTTGATGGCCATTTGGGCTCTTTCCATAATTTGACTATTGTTGATAGCACTGCTGTAAACATTGTGGTACATGTGGCCCTATGAATCAGCATTCCTGTAGCCTTTGGATAATTTCCCAGAAGTGCTAGGCTGGGTTGTAGGGTAGTTCTATTTTTAATTTTTTGAGGAACCTCCACACTGTTTTCCAGAGTGGCTGCACCAGTTTGCATTCCCACCAACAGTGCAAGAGGGTTCCCCTTTCTCGACATCCTCGACAACATCTGTTGTTTCCTGAGTTGTTACTTTTAGCCACTCTGACTGGTGTGATGTGGTATCTCAGAGTGGTTTTGATTTATATTTCCCTGATATTGAGCAATGCTGAGCATCTTTTCATGTGTCTCTTAGCCATCTGGATGTCTTCTTTGGAAAAGTGTCTATTCATGTCTTCTGCCCATTTCTTCACTGGATTTTTTGTTTTTGAGTGTTGAGTTTGGTAAGTTCTTTATAGATTTTTTATACTAACCCTTTATCCTCTATGCCATTTGCAAATACCATCTCCCATTCCATTGGTTGCCTTTTAGTTTTGTTGATTGTTTGGTGTGCAGAAGCTTTTTATCTTGATTAGGTCCCAGTAGTTCATTTTTGCTTTTATTTCCCTTGCCTTCGGGGACATGACAAGTATGAAGTTGCTGCAGCTGAGGGACATCTGGGTGTCTCAGTCAGTTAAGCGTCTGACTTCGGCTCAGGTCATGATCTCGCGGTCCATGAGTTTGAGCCCCACATCGGGGCATGTGCTGACAGCTCAGAGCCTGGAGCCTGCTTCGGATTCTGTGTCTCCCTCTCTCTCTGCCCCTCTCCCACTCATGCTCTGTCTCAAAAATGAATAAATGTTAAAAAAAAAATTAAAGAAGTTGCTGCATCTAAGGTCAAAGAGTTTACTGCCTGTTTTCTCCTGTAGGATTTTGATGGTTTCCTGCATCACATTTAGGTCTTTCATCTATTTTGAATTTGTTTTTGTGTATGGTGTAAGAAAACTGTTCTGTTTCATCCTTCTGCATGCTTCTGTCCCGTTCTTTCAGCACCATTTTCTAAAGAGGCTGTCTTTTTTTCCATTGGATACTCTTTCCTGCCTTGTCGAAGATTAGTTGGCCATATATTTGTGGGTCTATTTCTCCTTTCTCTATTCTGTTCCATTGGTCTGTGTGTCTGTTTTTGTGCCAATACCATGCTGTCTT